TCAGATATGGTCTAAATGGCTGGAGAAATTGAGACAAGAACCTGGATAAATCAAATCCATCCTCTCACTCAATTCATTTGAATATATTCAGTCATTAAACAAATATTTTTTAAAGAACCTATTACAGACTCAATATTATGCTGAGTGCCGAAGATAAAATGGTGAGCAAAACCAAAGAAAGCCCTTGCCCTCATGAGTAACAGCTTAATGGTAACAATAGCTAACATTTATTCCTTGCTTATTATGTGCATGAAACACTTTTCATGACTCCTCTATCATGTAACTTTCAGCAAAACAAATATAAGGTATCTATTAGTACAAAACACACCATAGGCCGGGCGCGGTGGCTCAAGCCTGTATTCCCAGCACTTTGGGAGGCCGAGGCGGGTGGATCACTAGGTTGGGAGATTGAGACCACCCTGGTCAGCATGGTGAAACCCCGTCTCTACTAAAAATACAAAAAACCTAGCTGGGTATGGTGGCGCGTGCCTGTAATCCCAGCTGCTCAGGAGGCTGAAGCAGGAGAATTGCCTGAACCCAGGAGGCGGAGGTTGCAGTTAGCCGAGATCGCACCATTGCACTCCAGCCTGGGTAACAAGAGCTAAACTCCGTCTCAAAACAACAACAACAACAACAACAACAAACACCATGAAGAGACAAAAGGTGTGTGTGTGTGTGTGTGTGTGTGTGTCTTAAATAATCAACCCTCTTCCTGCTTTTCCCCAGAAAAAAATTGTTACAATGGAGATTACAATAGATGCATACAGAAGATTCCCATTGCGCCACAGTTCCAGAACCGGGCTGGGTGCAGAAGGCAGGTGGTTGCTTTACACTGCTTTGTATTGAAATCTGCATTGCCCAGGAGGAGCTCATTAGCATCAGTAGACACATAGCCATTTGCCCATGTTTTCTCAGCTATTTAGCAGACACAGGATTTGAACCCAAGGTTTTACACTCAGGAGCTTATGCTCTTTCTTACTCCACTGGCCCACCTGTGTACCCCTACATTCTTCTGTCTGTAAATACAGAAAAAGAATGAGAGGTGATAAGGCAAAAGTATCTTAATAGTTGCATCAGCTCTCCTTTGCTTTGTGAGTTCTGGATGGAACAAAGGACAACTGTAATAATTCTTTCTTGCTCTTCTCTCTAAATATGTAGTAGCCCTATTTGAGAATAGGTGATAATGGCAAATTTTAGAAAAAGAATCTACCTGGCCCATCATTAAATGGGAAACAAATGTTTTTAGAAAAAAATTGTTACAATGGAGATTACAACAGATGCATACAGAAGATTCCCATTGTGCCACAGTCTAACTTAAATCACCAATATGCATTTATATTATTATATCATTAATACTAACTCATTGAATATCATTTACTGAGAATAAACTATACGAAGAGCTCAATGTTAAGAGACATATTCATTCAGATAGACATTGCTTACCGTCCACAAATTTATAAGGATGACTTTCAAAGTGAGAAGAGAAAATAAAAGGGCAGGAGTGAGTAGAGGGAGGAGTCTAAGGTGACACCCAAATTTTTGACTTGAGCTGTTACGCATCCTGAGGCCACAGGAAGAAAAGCTGGTTTGATATTTATTGGAAGGTTTTTCCTTTTCTTTTTTTTTTTTTTTTGTCTTTCTGAGTTTTATTTTCTTTTCCATTTCGAGGGTGTGTTGTTTTGTTTCCATCTGTTGCTTTAGACAAAGCACTGTGCTCATTGGTGGTTGACAGTGTCATAACCCTTCTCTGATTATCTCGATTTTAAAAGGATGATAAAATCCAATTAAGGATGATAAAATATGCGTTTTAGAGATTTCTGCCATCCTTACAGACCCTTACCATCCCTAAGGATACTTCTTCTGACTGTTAAGTTAATTATATTTTAATTTTTTTCTCTTTTCAGTACAATTATATTAGTTTGTGTTACTGTGGCTATGCCTCAGTGGTCTACCCTTCCTTCACACTACTTTCCTATAGAAAAACAAAAGGTGCATTTATACCATAATTTAGTTCCATTCAGCAGTAGTTACAAATGATGCTACTAAAATCTGTCGGGAAAAATAATTCATCATAATTTCAAAAATGGAGGAAAAGGGAATGTGGGGAAGTTAAATATCATTGAATAAAGATACTTTGGAAAGCTGTCTGTCTTCATAACTGCTACAAATGTCTCTTTATAACTTGATTTTACCCAAATGTTTTTTAAAACATTGGTCTAAACTTTTCAACTAAGTTGACTTTTGTATTCTTGCTTCTTGTAAGTTCAGAGAGACCTGTATGGTTCGATGCATTCTCTGACGTTATTCTGAGAAGAAACAATTAAATGCATACTGGAAGACGTTTTGCTCTTCTGCATGTTGTAAATTTGGTGTCACCACTGCACAGTTACAGAATGCACAGTTCTCTGCTTTGCTTTCTCATCTCATTTCTGACCCCTCACCATCTTCTCCTGCCCTTGAGTCTGATCCTTTTCTGACTTTGAGCCTGGCATCTTGCCGGTGCTGGCAGGTATCAAGAAGGCATGGGCTGGGAGCCAGACTGAGCCTTGCAAAGGAGGCTCAGGAAGCCGACTGACATGGGCTCAATAATTAGCACAATGCCGGACACAATGCTCAGTAATGAGCTGCTGGGTTAATGGATGTCTGCGCTGGCTAGCTGTAGTAAACACTTCAAGTTGATAATATGGGGCTGATTGTGTGAGCAGTATAAATGAAAATGGAGGACTGACCAGCTCTCTGGTCCTCCAAGGTCAATAGAACACATTTAAAGCCTTCTTGTAGAGATATACAAGTTTTGTTCATTTTTAATATTCATGTCAATAGTTTAAGCAATGTGAAAACATAAACATTCTTAAGCATTGTTTTTTAGTAGAGACCAGGTCTCACTCTGCTGCCCACCCTGTAATGCAGGGGCATGATCCTAGCTCACTATGACCTTGAACTCCTGCGCTCAAGCAATCCCTGCTGCCTCAGGCTCCTGAATACCCTGGACTAAAGGTGAACACCACCATGCTTGGCTAATTTTTTATTTTTATTTTTGTAGAGATAGGGTTTGCTGTGTTGCCTGAGCTTGTCAATCATTTTATGTATCGTCTTTAATAATAAAAGATACTTGCAAAGAGAATAGCAGGTAGCACATTTTAAGATATAGATTTAGAGTAACACATAATTTTATAATAAGAAGAACCTCAGTAGCAAAATCTTAGCTATTTATAATATGATAGTCCTTGATGTAGCGCTAATCTAAATTTGATGTTTTCATGACTAAATAATTTGTGGATTTTACAATGTTCTCAAAATTCCTAGAGTTAGTGTTTTTTAATTGATTTCTTTAGACTTTTTCACATCCAACAATATTATAAATGCAAAATGAATCCATTAACATATTTTATAATGTGTCTTTCGGTACACTTTTTAGAGTTACTTTGATTTCAGAAAGCTAAGAAAAAGGAATTTTGCTAGCCAGTCAATCATATCTGCATAGGCATAGCTATATAGACACCCATAAAATTATGCATAAATCCCAGGCTTTCAAATGAATGAACAACTTCCACGGTCTCAGCAACACAAGGCAACCTCCACCCTCTGGCATATTCATGTATCCATTTCACTGTCAAATTCTTATCATCTTTATCACTGCTCCTCAGGGGGCATCTACAACTCTGCAATATTACTGTTCTCAGAGAAAATGGTTATTTTTTAAATTTACCATTTTTGAAAATAAATTTTCAAAAACCTTTTTAATAGAATAACAAGTTTACTCTCTTCAGCAGCAAGTTTGCTGAAGTACCTTATTTGTCCAAAAATAGTTGAAGGCCACATTGACTGAGGAAGGGATGAATACTCATACTAATGAGCTTTCTGTCCCCTTCTTGTGGAAATTTTCTCTGAATTTGCTGGGATTTTCTGCTGGGTCATGCAGAAACTCCTTGGAATGTTATAGCCTGGGAAACGTAATTACCCCAGGATGTTTGATTTTTCTCACAGTTTCTGGTGGTAGAGGATGGAATAATCAAGTCCTCTCTCTGAAAGAAGAACTCTCTCATGTGCCCGTCAGTGCGGAAGGGCTATCATTACAGAAAGACAGCATTTTCCTCTGTTTCTCGAGTTGGTTTATCTCCATCCCACTACTCAAACCTTGCAATTTAGAGTTCACCTTAGTTCTCTGCTTTTGTGTACACAGAACTACAACATTCAACTCAGCAAACACTCCCTTCATATACAGATTTTCTTTACCAGCAGTATTTTATGTGGACAACATTAATGGGAGATTAGTGACAAGAAATTACTTTGGGGGAGTCCATTGATCTTTGCTTTCTAAAATTTATAAACTGCTTTATATAATCATACATTGTTGCCTTCTTTACCTTCACCACCAACTTCCACATATGAAAAAGTAATAAGAATGGGGACTGAGAAGAAATAGTAAGATGGTTCAGACTGAACAAAGCCATTTCAGTTTGTGTGTGTGTGTGTGTGTGTGTGTGTGTGTGTGTGTGGATTTCATCATAAACTCTGCTTCCCTGACTAAAACCATCATAATTACCAAGCAACGGCTTTTTCCCAGAGTTACATGAGAACAGAAAAGAAGGCATTTGTCATGCAGTGGCATATCTCGGGGACAGCTCACCCTTGTGAACCATGTCTGCCCTTTCTTCCTCCCTCTTTTAATTAACATTTGGAAAAGAACAGCGATGTTAGCAGATAGCAGAGCTGGGAAGAGAGACTCAGAAAGTGATGTGAGCTCTGTTAATCTTCAACCATGCCAAAGAGGACACATTAAAGTGTGATTTTCCTTGGAAAATCAGCCTTTGTCAACACAAATTCAAAGCAATGTGACCTTGATTTATATACATATATATATATATATATTCTAGGTAAGAATAGCACAGACTGAAGCATCTTGAGAGACTATGTGAATGAAAAAAAAGAGGAAAAGCATCCTAAAAGAAGATGTTAAATCCAGGAAAAAGTTGTCAAGAGCACTTCTTGCCACTTACCTTTTCTGCTGACTGGGCTGTACCAAAAAAGATGGGAATGAAAGCTAACCAAATGATGCAGGTGGTATACATGGTAAATCCAATAGGTTTGGCTTCATTGAAAGTCTCTGGGACACCTCTGGTTTTAATGGCATAAACAGTACAAGTGACCATCAAGAGGATACTGTATCCAAGTGAACAAATGAGTGAGAGATCAGAAATGTCACACTTGAGCACTCCCCTGGCCTTCTCTGGATCTAGTGTCCGCTGCTCCCCATAGTCAATTATGATGTGGGGGGGATCCACAACAAACCAGACAAACACTCCAAGGAGCTGGACAGAGATGAGGCTAAAGGTGATCACCAGCTGGGATGCAGGACTAATAAACTTGGGCGCTGTGACAGATTTCTTCCCCTGCTCAAATATTCGGTGGATACGGTTTGTTTTGGTCAGAAGGGCTGCATAGCTGAAACACATGCCAAGTCCTAGGAAGATCCGTCGGAAGGAGCATATAATTGTATCTGGTGCTGCAATCATTAAAAAGGTGATTGAATAACAGAGAAAAATTCCTGTTAGGAGCACGTAACTGAGTTCACGTCCTGAAGCCCTCACAATAGGTGTGTCATTATAGCGGACAAAGGTCACAATCACAAAGGTGGTGGCGATGATTCCCAATATTGCAACGAACACAGGCACCACAGCCCAGGGAGAATGCCACTCCAATTTGATGATGGGGATAAGCTGGCAGCCTGTGCGGTTGATGTTTGGTCTCTGATCCAGAGGGCAAAGTTCACAGGAGAGCTCATCCACCTGGTAGTTGTAACCTTCACAGCGTTCACAGTGCCAGCAGCAAGGGACCCCTTTCACTGTTTTCTTCCTCTCCCCCGGCTTACATGGCAGGCTGCAGACAGACGCTGGGTGAATGTGTTCTCTGTTAGCCCACTGCATGTCTTCCACCTGTGGGTATAAAAAATTAATGAGCCTTCCATTTTCCCCCCATTTATAATATCCTAATCCTAGCCATGGGTTTGTAATAAATCACAGAATGCTGACAGTACAAATACAGTTTACCATAATAAGAGCCTAGTTTTTTTCTCTGATATTGACTTTATGAAAGTGTTAAGTGATTGGATCCAATATATCATTCACATCATCAACTTGATGAGTGGCATTAGTTTTCATTTACCTCCTCTACGCTGACCAATGTGACATCTGAAGAAAGATTTATTGGTCTCAACAGTTTTGAAACTAAAAAATATACAAAAAAAATAATAAGAAGCCCCGTGGAAAGATGCTTTAGAGTTAGTCACAAATATAAACGCCAGAATCCCTGAAACACTGGGTTAGGATATAAACATATATGAAAGATGGCCCTTGTCTTTTTCTCACACTTAAGGAAATTCAAATCACACTACATCAATTTCAAAAGGAAATGGCAACATGAGTTACACTAATCTCTGAGTCTCCTCATCTGATCATGGAGATAATGATGTCAATGTGTTTTGCCCGTATTTAGGCTTGAAATACACCTTTTTCTTCTTTCTTGCATTTCCAGGTTCTGCAAAACATGCTGAATGAGATAACTTGATGGTAATGGTTTTCATTGAATGAAAGCAGTCCTATGGTGATTTAAAGCAGGGAAATTAGTGCAAATGAGACTTTCTCTCCTTTGCTTAGTATCTATCTGCCTCAGGGCCTTAAAATCCCACCTTAGGCTTTCAGGTTAAATCACAGAATAATTCTATTGAAATACAAGCAGTTCTTGAAAGAGATAGTGCCGATCATTGCTCTCTTACCTCAAATTTGTTTTTCTTATTAGACATACAGTAATTTTAGCAGAATGCTAATAGGATAAAACTGAAAATTGTGGATGACAGGAGACTACTTACTATGAAAAGCAGCTAATAGTAAAGCAGCTACTTTATAAAAGGTAAGCTCTATGAAATGAGTAACTGTTTCACTGGTGTGAACAGTGACTGGCATACAAGTTGCCCTTAATACATATTTGTTGACTTCATGAGGGAGAAAGGATGGGAAAGGCACCACAGCAGAGCCCTGAGGAATAAGGAGACACCTTGCAAGTAGTGGGATTTGGAAATACAGGGTGCTCGAAGAGGCACAGAAAAGGGAGATGAAGGACTGTTTCAGAAAAAAAGAACAACTAATTTTCATAAGTCCATCTTTACTAATAATCCAAAAGAATTCCTATACTCTGTGGTACTCATCCTCCACCATGGCCCCCAGTAACCTCACCTTCAAAAATTCATGTACTCTGTGGTCCCCTCCGACTTTGAATAGCGCTAGTCTGTGTAAACAATAGTATATTCCAGAAATGATGGTATGCCTCTTCTGAGGCCAGGTCATAAAAGGCATTTTGGTTTCAGCCTTGCTCTCTGCTGGATAACTCACTCCAGTGGAAGCACTCCAGTGTCACTGATGCAGGACAGAGGAGCCCCAAAGTGGGACTGAGCCTGCAAGAAGTCCTGGCCTCACCCAGGACAGAATTCAAGGGCGAGCTGATGGCTAGAAGAAAACAACTTTACTGAAGCCGTAGTGTTGCAGTTCTAGGCAGTGTTATAGCTCCATGACTTTTCTTGCAGAGCACAATTAACCTACAGGCAGAGAGCAGTAGCTCGCTCAAGGCAATTCTGCAATCATGTTCAAATCTACTTTCAATTGCATACAGAGTATGGGGTGGATAACACAAAAATTTCGAGGAAAAGTGCAATAACTACTGGGTTGCAGATCATTGCCATGGAAAGAGGCTGTAATGGTCATGGAAATGGTCTTTTGGGAAGCTTCTCTGTCCTGTCTATGTTTTAGCTAGTCCTCAGTTTGGTCTGCTGTCCAAGTCCCACCTCCAGAGCCAAGCCCCTGCTACCTCATCTTGAAAACTCTCAGCAGCTCTGTGGAAAGGATAGAGGCCTCCTGCCCAGAAGCACCACTTCCCACGCATGTGAAGGAGCCACCCAGAAAGTCACCAACTGTCTCTAGTCAGTTCTTCAGATGTCATCTAAATGACATCTTGAATACAACTTCATGAGACCCTGAGCCAGGAAAACCCAGCTAACCTATTCCTGAATTTCTAATCTACAGAAATTTTGTGAGATGATGTTTATTGTTTTAAACTGCTAAATTTTAGAGTTATTTGTTCTGCAACAATAGAAAAATGAATGCAGCTCAAATTAAACTTAGCTACTTGGTGGCCACCTTCAAATCAGTGTAGTTATCTATTGAGAAGGCACACCCAGTGACACCTACTGTATACTTCCTAAACAGCCCAAAGTGTGTAGCGTTAGCAATATTCCTCATCATTCTTATGGCGGCTTACTTTTTGGCAATCAGGTGACTGAAATTGTTCTCATGAACGATTACTTAAGAGTGTCTTCCTTTCTTAAATCTGGGGTGAATGGTTGATGCCAGAGACTGTAGTCCCCAACCTCAAGCCTTTTAGAAGGCTGTCTAATCTCAAGGTAGAGACTGTGTGTCTTTAGTTTCAGACAGCCTCGCTTGAGGAGGTAGATGCTACTTCATCTGTCATAAGTCATAAGGGCATTCAAGACTATTAGATCTATCCTATCAGCTCACCACAAAGGAAATGTAATCTGTTATAAGCCTCTAGTTTCTTATTAGGTTTTAATGACTTTAAAAGGTTTTATTTTATTTACTTACAAGATTGCAGGAAGAAAGAAATAGGGTAAAATGGAAGCATACAGTGATTTCTTTCAAAAATACTGAGAAAGAAATGAAATGCTCCACTGTGTGCTTCAGGTATTAACTTTATACCTTAATGGACTCTTATAAGAAAATACATTTTTGAAGGTTATATTTAAAAGTTAATCATTATACAAACAAAATTGCATTTTTGTTGGGAACTTCTATAGATTTACAAGTTCCTGTTCAAAAAATAAAAGCAGCAAAAAAAAATATTGGAAACATTAAACTTCGAGAAAGCTTAAAGGTCAGTTTCTCTAACCACATGTCAGAACCTTTAATTCTCAATATGCTTTACTTCTCAGAAGAACGTAAGACATGTTAAAAAAGAAATATATCTATACTAGGTAAGTCTTGTTACATAGGATAAGTATTTATCATTGTAAGCTAAATGTGAACTTTTCCTTGATAATTTTTTAATGTTTTGAACCAGCAGAAATGTGTTTTTCATAAATGAAAAATAAAGATAAAAGAATATGAAACATACTACAATTTCTAACAGCTGTTAATTTTCTTTTAGTAAAAGAAAGTAAAATTAAGCAATACATGTGAAATTTGTATTATAAAGGAGATTGTAATGTTGTAGTTTATACATTATAACATTTTAGTAAATATGTTAAATATGCATCCTAAATATACATGACTTCATTTTTTTATCAAGGAATCTATTTATATTAAACTATACTGTGAGTTGATATCATAGCTAAAGTCTGAAAACCAACCAGTATCCACTTCAAGAAAGGACAAATAACAGATGCTTGAATAAGAATCTCACAAACGCCATCATATTTGAGATGAATAACTTATTTTAAATAGTTGCTAAATAATGATTAAAACTAACACTATTTGAAAGTAAATTAAAACTGCCTAATTTCCACAAGTTACAAAGCATAAACAAAAATCATTCAACCCTTGTGTATTGCTATGTTAACAAATTAGACCATCTTTCATTATAAGTATAAAGAGATGCCTTAACCATATATTATTAAAATTTGCTTTCCTCATCTTTGGTATTAGTCTTTTAAGACGTTTTCAGTCTAAAATACATAGTATAACAAATGGATGACAGTAATACAGATAGATCTTCCAGGGGCAAAGCAATAGCCCATTCCTACCTTGACAATGTTTACCAATAGTGATTGATTCAATAGGTTTCAATTCAGTGCATTTCAGAAAATGTAAGTCATCAGCTGGTTTCTGCTGTCAAATCCTGTTATTATTGCAGACAAGTACACAAATAATCATGAAACCAAAGTTTCCGGGTGAGTGTGCTTGCATTTTTAAATTTACTATCTTTTCAGAAAAGTCAACTAAGAGTACTATTTTATAAACTCTTTAAAAAGAATATAATTTTTATGGAATAATTTTCTTCTGTGTAGTTTTAATAACTCCTGAAGCAAGGATTACAAGAGTGTTAAACAATTAAAAGCCCCATTGTAATTAATAATTTTCAGTATTCATTACAAAACTCCCAGCCAATCTAACATCTCTAATACAACACTTTTCTGAGATATCAAGTGGTATCTTTGTTAATGCAGGATGTGGAAAAATTTTAAATACAATGTTTACAGATAACTTATATTTAGCCATACCATTGTTAACATGTTTCTTCTTGCTCTATATGTAAGCATAGTATTAATAATTATTTTGTTGACTAGTTTGACACCCTGATGTCCACCCAAAACTCAACATATTTGACTTATGTAATGGAAGATTCCATGTGCAAATACTTCCAGTGACACTAATGATTATTTTTAAACCATTACTCATTAAATTTCATATAGTTAGTAGGATTTATAAATGCATAAAATCTGCATGGTTACTTAAAATTTCAAAATTTAGTATGATATTTTGCTTATTTTGCGTATGATATTTTGTAACATGTACATACTCACATATGAATGAGTACAGGTTACACAGTGAATTCGATAACAGAACACAAAATTATATAATTATATATATCTATATATGTGTGTGTATATAAATATCTTCCTTAATATTTTGCATTTCCTTTGGTTCATGTACAGCTGTAAGTGATCACAAAGAGAACAATGTTTTTTTCTTCTTCAAAGTGGCCCATGTCCTTTGAAAATCTAAAACGCTGAGATGATCCCAGATTGAAATCCTGTTTTTGCGATGTTCCAGATATATATAACCTTTAAAAGTGCAAAAACTTCTCCTATTTTAAAGACAATTTAATATAAAATTAAGAAAAAATTCACTTAAACTAACATTGAAAATAA